CCCCTCGTCCATGTGATGCCCCTCGTCCATGTCATGCCCCTCGTCCATGTCATGCCCCTCGTCCATGTCATGCCCCTCGTCCATGTCATGCCCCTCGTCCATGTGATGCCCCTCGTCCATGTCATGCCCCTCGTCCATGTCATGCCCCTCGTCCATGTCATGCCCCTCGTCCATGTCATGCCCCTCGTCCATGTCATGCCCCTCGTCCATGTCATGCCCCTCGTCCATGTCATGCCCCTCGTCCATGTCATGCCCCTCGTCCATGTCATGCCCCTTGTCCATGTCATGCCCCTCGTCCATGTCATGCCCCTCGTCCATGTCATGCCCCTCGTCCATGTCATGCCCCTCGTCCATGTCATGCCCCTCGTCCATGTCATGCCCCTCGTCCATGTCATGCCCCTCGTCCATGTCATGCCCCTCGTCCATGTCATGCCCCTCGTCCATGTCATGCCCCTCGTCCATGTCATGCCCCTCGTCCATGTCATGCCCCTCGTCCATGTCATGCCCCTCGTCCATGTCATGCCCCTCGTCCATGTCATGCCCCTCGTCCATGTCATGCCCCTCGTCCATGTCATGCCCCTCGTCCATGTCATGCCTCTCGTCCATGTCATGCCCCCTTCTATTCTTTTACCTCCCTTTCCTGACACGACTGGGCAGCAGCCCAGCTACAGCAGGCGCTGCAGATAGCCATGGTCAAGCCTTTCTTAGGGGGTGCCACAGACAGTGCTGCACTTGACGGCTTCTCCCACAGCCCTGCTGCGGGCTGGACTTTCCCTGTTGTGGCCCCTCCCTCCACCTCTGCTTCTAGTTTTGAGGCGCCTCAAAACTGGACTTTCCCTGTTGCGGCCCCTCCCTCCACCTCTGCTTCTCCTGCTGCTTCTGCCTTGCTGCTCCCACTTTAAGTGCTCCCCCACTTCTTTTCCCTCCCTTTCCTAACAGAACTGGGCTACAGCTGAGCTACAGCAGGCGCTGCAGATAGCCATGGTGAACGCGTTCACAGGGGGGGACATGGACGGGGCTGCACGTGGCGGCTTAACCCACAGCCCTGCTGCCGGCTCCACTGCCCCCGCGGGCCCTGCGTCTGCTGCCCCTGCCTTTCCTGCTGCTGCTGCTGTAAGGCCGGCTGCTCCTGTAGTGGGGTCGATGGTGGACCTGGCGAGGGACATGGCAGCAGTCTTTGAGGGAGCTGGGAATGCGGACTTTCAGGGAACCTTCCTCGACAACCACGACTCGCCGCGGCTCCTGGGCTTGCTGCATGGAGGTGGGAGGCGTTTAGAGATAGGTGATGTCAAGGTATTCATGTGACTGGGTTGTTCTGCTCTCAGAAAAACATATGCCTCTCCTCCCCTCCCCTCTCCTCCATTCCCTTTCAGCCTCTCTTCTTCCCCCGCTTCCACACTTTTACCCCGTCCCTTTTCTCGCCCTTCAGACCAGGTGCTTCTCCGCAACGCGTTGGTCCTGCTGCTGACATCGAAAGGCATTCCCCTCATTTACTCAGGCACAGAGCAGGTGGGTGCGTGTTGTTGGCAGGCACAGAGCAGGTGGGTGCGTGTTGTTGGCAGGCACAGAGCAGGTGGGTGCGTGTTGTTGGTTGGCAGGCATGCACAGAGCAGGTGGGTGCGTGTTGTTGGCAGGCACAGAGCAGGTGGGTGCGTGTTGTTGGCAGGCACAGAGCAGGTGGGTGCGTGTTGTTGGCAGGCACAGAGCAGGTGGGTGCGTGTTGTTGGTTGGCAGGCATGCACAGAGCAGGTGGGTGCGTGTTGTTGGCAGGCACAGAGCAGGTGGGTGCGTGTTGTTGGCAGGCACAGAGCAGGTGGGTGCGTGTTGTTGGCAGGCACAGAGCAGGTGGGTGCGTGTTGTTGGTTGGCAGGCATGCACAGAGCAGGTGGGTGCGTGTTGTTGGCAGGCACAGAGCAGGTGGGTGCGTGTTGTTGGCAGGCACAGAGCAGGTGGGTGCGTGTTGTTGGTTGGCAGGCATGCACAGAGCAGGTGGGTGCGTGTTGTTGGTTGGCAGGCATGCACAGAGCAGGTGGGTGCGTGTTGTTGGTTGGCAGGCATGCACAGAGCAGGTGGGTGCGTGTTGTTGGTTGGCAGGCATGCACAGAGCAGGTGGGTGCGTGTTGTTGGTTGGCAGGCATGCACAGAGCAGGTGGGTGCGTGTTGTTGGTTGGCAGGCATGCACAGAGCAGGTGGGTGCGTGTTGTTGGTTGGCAGGCATGCACAGAGCAGGTGGGTGCGTGTTGTTGGTTGGCAGGCATGCACAGAGCAGGTGGGTGCGTGTTGTTGGTTGGCAGGCATGCACAGAGCAGGTGGGTGCATGTTGTTGGTTGGCAGGCATGCACAGAGCAGGTGGGTGTGTGCTGTTGGTTGGCAGGCACGCACAGAGCAGGTGGGTGCGTGTTGTTGGTTGGCAGGCATGCACAGAGCAGGTGGGTGTGTGCTGTTGGTTGGCAGGCATGCACAGAGCAGGTGGGTGCGTGTTGTTGGTTGGCAGGCATGCACAGAGCAGGTGGGTGCGTGTTGTTGGTTGGCAGGCATGCACAGAGCAGGTGGGTGCGTGTTGTTGGTTGGCAGGCATGCACAGAGCAGGTGGGTGCGTGTTGTTGGTTGGCAGGCATGCACAGAGCAGGTGGGTGCATGTTGTTGGTTGGCAGGCATGCACAGAGCAGGTGGGTGCGTGCTGTTGGTTGGCAGGCATGCACGGAGCAGGTGGGTGTGTGCTGTTGGTTGGCAGGCACGCACAGAGCAGGTGGGTGCGTGTTGTTGGTTGGCAGGCATGCACAGAGCAGGTGGGTGCGTGTTGTTGGTTGGCAGGCATGCACAGAGCAGGTGGGTGCGTGTTGTTGGTTGGCAGGCATGCACAGAGCAGGTGGGTGCGTGTTGTTGGTTGGCAGGCATGCACAGAGCAGGTGGGTGCGTGTTGTTGGTTGGCAGGCATGCACAGAGCAGGTGGGTGCATGTTGTTGGTTGGCAGGCATGCACAGAGCAGGTGGGTGTGTGCTGTTGGTTGGCAGGCACGCACAGAGCAGGTGGGTGCGTGTTGTTGGTTGGCAGGCATGCACAGAGCAGGTGGGTGTGTGCTGTTGGTTGGCAGGCATGCACAGAGCAGGTGGGTGCGTGCTGTTGGTTGGCAGGCATGCACAGAGCAGGTGGGTGCGTGCTGTTGGTTGGCAGGCATGCACAGAGCAGGTGGGTGTGTGCTGTTGGTTGGCAGGCACGCACAGAGCAGGTGGGTGCGTGTTGTTGGTTGGCAGGCATGCACAGAGCAGGTGGGTGCGTGTTGTTGGTTGGCAGGCATGCACAGAGCAGGTGGGTGCGTGCTGTTGGTTGGCAGGCATGCACAGAGCAGGTGGGTGCGTGTTGTTGGTTGGCAGGCATGCACAGAGCAGGTGGGCGGATGGTGTTGGGAGGCAGGCACAGAGCAGGTGAGTGGTTGCGTGGTACTGGGAGGCACGGAGCAGGCGGGTACTGGGGGGTGGAACTGCAAGGCCAGTTGCTACCGTTTTTCAGCCGCCTCAGAGCAGTCCTGCTGCTAGCGTCAAGACGCATTCCCCTCATCGACTGGGGCGCAGAGCAGGCGGAGCCCCTTGGATGTTAATTCAGCGTGGCCGGGCCGGATCGTCTTATGCGGTGTTGGGATGGTTGCGTTTCTTGGTTGGTTCAGCAAGCTTATCCATGGTTTCTCACAATGTGTCTGTTAGTCATTCTTTCTCAGAGCCATGCACCCCTATTATTTCCCACCTTGTCCCGCCCCTCCGTGCCCCGCCCCTCAGGCCGTCACGGGAGGTCTGGATTCCAAGTCCTCGAGTCCCTGACCCCCGCTCCTCCCACTGTCTGCAACCTCCATCCTGCCCCTCTTCCTTTCTTCCTCATGCCTTCATGGGAGGCCCAGACCCCAGAACTGCCACTCCTTGTGCCCTTTCCTCAGCTCCCACCGCCTTCATTACCGCTGTTGCCACCTGTCACCCTTTTATCGTTGCTCGTTTTCCTTCTCCTCCCATCCCATCCCTCCCCTCAGGCCTTCATGGGCGGCCCGGACCCCCAGAACCGGGAGTCCCTTTGGCCCTTCCTCAATACGCACCACCCGCTCTACGGCTTCTTGACCGCTGTCATTCGCTTCAGACAAAAGGTCCGTTGAGAGCCATGAGTGAGTGTGACTGTGGGTGTGCCTTGTGCTCTGCTTTACCTCTTCTGCGTTCACTGATGAGGCTGAGGCATCGCAGTGGTTGTTTACACCGTCTGCATTCCTTTCTGCGTGATTTGACCCATAACATCACCACCCAACCAGGTGTCCCTATGGCAGTACAAGCACCAAGGCATTCGATTTGTCTCCACCCACTTGCTCGTGTTCCAGCGCGGACCAGCTGTCGTTGCGGTAACCAACACTCCTGCTGATGTGCAGTTACACGACACTGTGCGTGTTACTGGTTTGAGATACAGCGACGGCACCATTCTTTGTAACGAGTGAGTAACAAGCCAGTTTTAACAATGTAGTTATTCATCGTGACGTGTCCTTCACTGAATCCCCTTATGGTGTTGTGGCTCAGGTTGGCTGATAATGAGTGCATACGTATATCAAACAAAGGAGGGTATATACACTTCGATGATCGACTACCCAAGTTATTCTTCCCTCTTTAAAGCATCCCATGTGTAATGCTCGGGAGTTAGAATGGAATGTGTATGGATAAGATCTGTAATCCCATGTCAGAACAATGCAATGATTATAGGTATCGGCATTGGTGGTACGGTGCTATCAATAATTAGGAAAAAATCACACGTCCATTTTGTGAAAACTAACCTTATAATGTCGCTAGCCTACCCACCCGCACGGAAGCTGTAAACTGAATAACGAGCCCCGTCCTGACGCGAACTGACGTCAAGATGTAATGGAGGAAGCTTCTTACGCCTTTCCACTCTCGTCAGCATGACGTGGCGTTAGCTCCTTCGGTCTCCTTTCCTCACTTACCTATTTTGCGTGCCACACACACCACCACACCACCCCACTCCAGTGCCGGGCCTGCATGGCGCGGTCTGCAGGCGCCGACAGGGCGGTGACGGACTTAGTAGTGTCGCCGACGAACCCCAGGAGTTAGCTTGACAGAGACTGACGGGGCCGGTGACGGAGTCTGTGATAGAGGCCGTCATTGATAACGGACGGTTCGGCCCCGCCTCCTCCGTTGCGGATAAATACCTTTCGACTGTTCAGTCTATAAGCAGTGGCTCTGGTGTTGCTGCTCTGGCTGTGGGAGAACCTATCCATAGGGCAGACCGGCTGACGAGCACTGCTCGTCGCACGACGCACGCCCGACGTGCATTCCTCAGAGTCTTGCAGCTCGCTACACTATAGCGAGAGCTGACTGGAAACCTGACTCTCGGTGTTTTCAGCTCATGCGATCCGTCGCCGTCTCCTCTGCGATTCGCACCATCGGTCGCCTGCCGTGGATTACGGCAACCGTCGCACCGCCGGCGACTAGAGTCGCGACAACCGCTTTCGAAGCGCTACAGCCTTGTCGCAACGCGTTCGCGAACCCATTCGCGAACCCTTTCGCGAACCGGCGATTGTCTCTGGCAAGCGTCAGTCGCATCTTCATGGCTTCTGCTGGCGACAGCGTGTCGCACGCGACAAGCGCCGCCAATCACCACCCCGCGCACGTTTCGCAAGCGGACCAACCCACCTTGGCGAACCCGCCGAAATCCGTTGCTGGTAACCCGAGCAGCCCAACGAAGCAGGGAGAGGCGGCGACGAAGGTTCCAGGAAAGAGGCTGATAGGGCGAATGGAGGGGAGTGATCCGTTCGCACTACTTAAGGCGCTCGCCCCCATGCAGGTACTAAGTTTTTGCAGGGTGTTTTTGAGAATTCTCAAAAACACCCTGCAAAATGCAGGTACTAAGTGAGGAAGGTGGTTCGCCCATGCAGGTACTAAGTGAGGAAGGCGGTTCGCCCATGCAGGTACTAAGTGAGGAAGGTGGTTCTCCCATGCAGGTACTAAGTGAGGAAGGTAGTTCGCCCATGCAGGTAAGAGAGCGGTAAGCCCATGCAGGTGAGAAAGGCAGCGCCTCTTAAGCTCTGTGATACACTGTTCCCCTTGAGGCAGCAGCAATGCGGTGGCTAGTAGCTACAATGCTCACTCTAGATCGGTGCCTGGATCACCTGCTTCAAGCGATCACTACATCCTCCCAATTCCACTCTTCAACCCTCCCTGCCCTGCCCTGCCCTACCCTCCTCCCTGCCGTGCCCTCACTCCCCAGGTACTCCTGGGAGCGGGCATGCGCACAGCGCTCATTCTCCCCCGCCCCCTCGATCGTCTCCCGCTCACTCTTCCTCCCGCGCTCTGCTCGCTCACTCTGCTTCGCCCCCGCACTCTCCCTATGTCGCCCCGCAGGTGCTTATCGGGGCGGGCATGCTCACAGCGCTCATTCTCCCCCGCCCGCTGGCCCTTGCTCTCACTGCTGCCGCCCTCCTGCCGCCCATTCTGCGCACTGCGCTGCACAGCTGGCGCTGGGGAGGGGCCAGAAAGGGCGTTTATAGGGAAGGTACATCTGGGGAAAGCAGGGAGAGGGGGGAGGAGAAGGGGGCTAAGGGGAAGGCGCAGTTTGAAAGGGAGGGGCTGCTGGGGGAGGTGGTACCTGAGGCAGGAGAGGCAGTGGGGAAAGGGAAGAGTGAAGGCGAAGGTTGGGTGGCGACAGCGGGCTCAGACGGCAAGCAGAACGGAGTTGGTGGACGGCACGAGGCGGCACGGGTCGGCAACTTGCTGTCCGTGAATGGGATGGATATCTTCAAGGGCCGGATGGCCGGCAAGATGGATGGCGACTTTTGTCTGTTTCTGATCGGTGCACGAGCCAACAATCCGTTCCCACTGGGCCCGTCCTTTGCTTCGGTGGGGGAGGTGTTTCAGCAAGCCGTGAGGTAAGGCGCTGAAAAGACTCCAATCAACCACACCCGGTGTATTTCGAATCGACTCAAAATACCCCTTTGCTTCAGTTGGGGAGGTGTTTCGGCTAGCTGTAAGGTAAACCGGTGAACCAGTGAAGCGCTGAAAAGACTCCTCACAAAGTCTTGCTGTGGCGTACACTGCCAAAAAGGCTCCACCTATGACACCCTCTTGTCTAGTCATCCATCCATGCTTCTGCCATGCGGTGCCCATTGAGTCGATTCCTGAGACGATTCCTGTCCGCTGTGGTGCCTGGAGAGACTCTCACTTGCCCCGGCAACCATCCCTTGGCCGGGAGCTGGAGCGAGAGTGTGGCAGGCTGCTGGGCGGGGACTACTACGTTGGCCTGGACACGACACATGGGTCCATACCATACTCTCAACATTCGCGCTCTCACACTTGTGTGTTCTCCGTGCTTATCCCTACACTTCACGGCAGGGAGCTGGAGCAAGAGACAGACAAGTTTGGGTACCTGGGGGGGGACTACTATGTGGGCATGGACACGACACGTGGCTCACAGACATTGGCTGTCATGTTTTGGCGCTCTTATGACGATCTGGTTGCGTACGCCAACAACCAGAACCTAGTGCACGGGTCAGGTACGATGGGATGGGTTCGCATGAATCGGGGATGATTGAAGCATGTGATGGGCACGTTTGATGCATGGGCATAGTTCAGGCATACATACCCATGCATGGGCATGGTTCAGGCATACATACCCATGCATGGGCATGGTTCACGCAAACACATTCACGGGCCAAGCATTTCCAGCCCTCGAATGTCTAACCCCACATAGTACCTGCTCCTTATCCCTTCCCCTCCCCCCCTCCCCCCCCCCGCCTCCTTGCCTTCCCACGTTCGCGATATTGTCTGCCTCGTCATAAGCAGCATGGAAGCGAATGACCCAGCTGCTGAGGGACAGCCCGGATATAGGCGTGTGGCACGAGTCGTATGCAATTAGTGCCGGGCAGTATGAAGCAATTTATGTCAACTGCCCACAGTTCGGGCTCGGGGCAGCTGGAAAACTTGTGCCGGCTGTTGGCCCTCTGGCAACCTCTAAAGGGAGAATGAGGGAGGGAGGTTGTGCGAAGGGGACCGAGGGAAGAGGAAATGAGCCGGCGACGGAGGGGAAAGGAGAAGAGGGAGGAGCACGGAAGGTGTCTCATTCAACTGGTACCTGTCCGATGGGCTTTTGACCTGCACCTGCCTTATTTGATGCTTCATTATTGGTCTTCTGATGCGTTTAGGCTCATGTGCATCTGTATTGTATTAATGGACTATTACATAGAGGCTGCTGAAATCAATGTGCTGTACTGGCTAAACAAATGTTAAAACTAACCAAGTATCCCCACGAATGCATGTCAGTCTGAGTATCTCCTGCAGCTTATATGGTACGGGTATGTGTGTGTGACAAGGGGAGGGCAAACTGTCCCACCGCCCCCTTTCCTCCTCCCCTCCCCCCCCCCCCCTTCTCCACTGCTCCCTCCTTAGCAATCACTCCTCCGTGACCGGTATTATATACCGGGTGTTCCCTGTGCCAGCCTGACACTGCTGCCTTCGGCACTCCACTTTGCAGCACGCTGCCTTTGCCCTATTACCGGTAGCATCAGCTTAGTGTCCTTTTCTTTTCCCCCCCCTCTCTACTTGGCTCCCTTCCATCCCCTCTGCTCCACTGCTGGTAGTCACCGTCCCCCCTTCTTCAGCTGCCCCTCCCATTCCGCTGAGTAGCCTTACCAGCTGCCCGGTTATTCCCTACTAGCCGTACCAGCTGTTGAAGGAGCCTGCCAGGTTGGGATTCTTGTTGGTCGGACTGAGCCCAGTGGACGCAGCACCGGCCACATTACCCCCTCCATTTCCCCCACCGCCTGAAACATTATCCCTCAGTTTCTGCCACATTTCATCCCCCACCACGCAGTGGGTGGATTCAGTGAATGTGAACGCCTCGAAGGGGACCCCCGCTGCTGCACGATTTTTCTGTACGCTGTTTAACGAGTTTTTAATATTGCTTGAAAAGTACTGTAGCTGCTGTATCTGTTGCGGGGTGCACTTTTTGAGGTGCGAGCCCAGGCAGCGCACGAGGGGGTTCGCTTTGCCCTTCGCCTTTGGCGACATGGCGATGGCGACGGCCTTGTAGTCCACTAGCGAATTCACGACGAACATTGGCGATTTCACGAACTTGAGGTTGTATTCGGGGAAGAAACACTTCCACGTCGAGCCGCTCGGCTCCATGGCTGTTGAATGCGAGGGGAGACGAGGGGAAAGAGAAAGGGGAGGGCGAAACGGCGAGGGAGCATAGGAAGCAGGCAAAGAAGAGAGTGAGTCGTTGGTCTGGCCTCGGGGGGAAGGAGATAGCGCACTTTTCACTCACACAACTTCACTGCTATAATCCACATCATCACACCACTCACCGTCCTTGCGTCGCCCCATTAATTTCAATGCGGTCGATATCGTGCAGCCCCGCCGACCGTTGAACCTTCTGTGGTCACATTGTCACACCCCATACAAGCACGCTCCATACAATCACTCAATCACTCACCGTCCTTGCAGTCGCCGTTGATTCCAATGCGGTCAATATCGTGCAGCTCTGCCAGCCGCTGCACCTTCTCTCGCAGGGATCGCTCTCCGTTCACGTCCACCACGTCTGCCACGCCGCGAATGAAAACACGAAGCAAAGAAGATGTTTAAAAAATTGTGGGAAACCCCCAGAAAATACCCGACAAAAACCGGGGAGACGGTCGCAGGGTCAAACCGTGCTCCAGGATTAAAAAAAAATAAATAAAAAAACAATAAAAAGGCCAATAATTTTTCCTAGAAACAGTCGACGGTATATGAAGCCTACCTGGGAAGAACCCGCCATCCATGAAGCACTTGGTACTAATGCCATAGTCCTTGAGCCACGTGGCGATCTGGTCGCACTTGATCGACACCGCTACTGCCCCCGCGCTACATCCCCCCACCAGCACCTCCTGCCCGTGGTTGAGGTTCTTCGTCTCCAGAAGATCTGTTGTGGAGGGTAGGATAGGGAAAGGAATGGGGTTTAAATCTCTTGGGTTTAGGAAGATCTCTTGTGTTTAGAAATCTCCCCCCCGCTGCAGCCCCCCCCAGCAGTACCCGCCAGGCCCGTGGGTCAGGTTCTTCGTCTCCAGAAGATCCGAATTGAAGGGCGCAAGGGAAAGCCTAGAGCCTTGAGGGGTGCTTCTAAACATTCCCCGCGCTGCAGCCCCCCACCCAGGCCCCTCCTGCCCGTGGTTCACATTCTGAGTCTCCAGAAGATCTGTTGTGGAGGATGGGATAGGGAAAGGAATGGGGTTTAAATCTCTTGGGTTTAGGAAGATCTCTTGGGTTTAGAAATCTCTCCCCCGCTGCAGCCCCCCACCCAGGCCCCTCCTGCCCGTGGGTCAGGTTCTGAGTCTCCAGACGATCTGTTGTGGAGGAGAGGAAGGGGAGGGGGAGGGGGAGGGGGTGGGTGGGTGGGTGGGGGGGGGAAGCAGATCTGGTTCGGATTCCCATGTGTCCGCATTCACCCCCATGCTCTTTCGATGCTCACCTTGCAGCACGCCGTTGAGATTCCAGTGCCCCCGGTAGTAGAGCGTCTTGCCCGTCTCCTCCGTCTTGTTCTTCCGGCCCGACCCGCCCGTGAAGGAGCTGCCGTCGCAGTACTTGACGAGCACCACGTTCCAGTTGTAAAAACCCGGGTTGATCCCCGCGTCCGCGCTCGCCACTCCGCCGAAATGCACGTCCTGCGGGAGAGATCGGGGGAAAGAAGGGGAGAGAGAGGGGGGAAGGCGAAAGAGAGGGAAGGGGAGAGTGTTGGAGGGAAGGCGGAGGAAGATTGAAGAAGCGTTTCGAGCCGCCTCTATAGTCGCGTGAACGGGTCCTAGTACCGGCATCTACTCGAAACTCGCAAGCCGTATGAGACACCGGAATAACTAGACACGGCAATGTGCCAAACATTGCTTGATAGCAGTCTCACGCATTGCTTAATGTGCCTAAGTCTAACTCAGGCATTGCTTTCACTCACGCTGACGGACGGCCAGTTTATGGAGCTCCCGAGGTCCGTCTTCGCCCGGTTGGCGCACTGGCGCGGACTGAAGCACCACCCGCCGCCCTGGGGGAAGGGGGAACGAGGGGGGCGGGGGATGGGGGGATGGGGGAGGGAGTAGAAGACACTGTATAAGAATCCTTGGGAAAATGCCGCGCGAGGGGAAAAGACCTCTGTTGGGGTGAAGCCACCGAGGCCAAAGAGAGCGAGTATAGAGCGGTTGTCCAAGGGAGTCTATCGCGCGCAACTGCCTCTGTTTTCGCGCTCACCTCGAGAAAGAGGATCCACTTGTTGGCACCCGTGCCGTAACCCTCGCGAAGGTAGTAACCCGGCATGCTGCGAAAACAGCGACGAGGGGCAGAAACGAAGATTGAGGATGGAAAAACAGCAAGGCGAAGTGGGTCATTGAAAAGAATGAAGGGTTGACGCAAAATCTCTAATGTAAAAAAAACCTGCATCTAGAAGAGCCTTTAGAGTGACTTGCACTCTTACCTCCCAATTTCTTAGGCGCCTAAAAAATTGCACTCGCGTCTTCGTGTTGGACTTCGTCCTCGCGTCTGCTCCTTTCGACAGCATGTAAAGCGCGCTACTGGGACAACTCCTTTCTTTGCTCATCTGTATTTGGATTAAGTATGCTGGGATAAGTCTTTCACGCTTACCTCCCGTCCAAGCACCGCCCTCGTGTCTGGTCCTTCGACAGCATGTGAAGCCGCGCGACGGGGCCGTCAATAACGGACGCCGCGCCTGCTCCTGATTTGGAGCTCGAGCCACCGCCGCCGCCGCTCCCGCTCAGGTCGCCGCGCGGTTTGAAGTTTTCCAGCGCCGAGGCGAGCAACGAGCGCGGCAGCGCGGGATTCACGGACGCCGAAGCGAGGACTAAAGAGAGCGCGAAGGGCGCAAGAATGAGTGCGAGGCTCAGAAGAGAGGCTTTGCGGTAGGGACACCGCCGGACTCGACTACTCTCGTGGTGGCTTCGCGCCATTGTCTAGTTAACTACGTGGCAGGACCAGTCTGCTATTTGAGCACGCTAAGGAGATCGGCCTGGAAACGATTCACGGAATTATGGAAAAACTGTGGGGGAAACGATAGGGAATGAATACGAGAAGGTGGTCTCTGATTTTCCAGAATGACCTTTTTCTCCTGGTCGTCGTTCGCCTAACGGATAGATGATGCACTCTAAAACGTGTTCTGGTTCTTATGCCTAGGTCTAGTCCAGATCCTATGGCCTTGTAAGTTGCTCGCTCCTCTTCCACGATTGACGACGAAGCCAAGTACATCCAGATGCCATTCACCGGATCAGCCCAGTCCAGTAAATGACTGTTTTCGGGTCTCGAAGCGCAGTCGCCACGCTCATGCTTAGAGGGCCGTTATCACCACACGATAGCAGGAGAGCACTTCAAAAGATACAACCTAACAGTATCCTTGCTACGGCGAGCGCAGGAAGCCCCTCCATATGGCTGGATTCGTGAGACTCTGCGAGGGAGGGAAGTCGAATTGGCATGCGACATTTTGGCTTTGTTGGGTACTTTCCGTGTCGCCAACGCGCTACGCGCCTTCGCCAGAATGAGCGGGAGACACGGTGGGATCGCGTACCGCGCGAAATCCATTTTGCAAGGGGGCTGATTCGCTACAGCCAGTATTTCGCAAAACAACTGTGATCTTGTTTTTAATTCACATTCGATATTACGTATCATCACGAAAACACATTCACCTTAGTCATAAGGCAAGGAACCTAATTTCTTCCATATGATCATGGAGCAAGAAGCTGTAATATTTGACAGGTGTTGCAGGAGACTAACTATAGAATCTGCAAACAAGAACACTTGGAAAACCTCAAGTGTTAGCCTAGGATCTTTACTGGAATGGTAGACTAGTAAGATAGCGGAAGTCTTATAAGAGTGAACCTGAGTATATGTTTCTGCAGAAGTTAAAGCGAGAGGTTATAATAGTGACCCATCTTTCTAGTTGGGCCCAACTTGATTGGGCACAACAACCTGCGACCTGTGACAGCTCGCAAACCCGGTGCTACAAATCTCCCAGCCAATCGTGTGCTTGCGCCTGCTCCCTCTGAACAGCGTGCCTGCGTTGTGGAACTGCCTTGGTTCTGCCGAGTGAGGCTAACAACCCCTTAGAAAAAATCGAGGGTCCCTTGGTTTCAAGTTGGACTCGCCTTCACTATTTTAGCCCCTCGCTTTAAATCTCAAAGTTCTCAAAGTTGAAATCTCAAGGTTAATAATAAAAAGGACAGGACAAAGATTTATAGCTCTAGGAAAGTACCTATTCGCTAATGAACCTGTTCGTCACTATCGCGCTATGCGCCCTAGACGATAATGAAGGGGTGCGACTATTCGCGTGACTGAACGACTGTCCAATGACGAGCGCTATTTGCTGACGTCATCCTACGGACTTATATTTTACAGTAGGATTCGGCACTATCTATCGATAAACGACTTACATAAATGTGAAGTATGAAATATACCACAACATTCCCCTTCATTTCTGGAAGTCCGATAGAGTCACGTCTTGAAGATCCTGCAAAGCTTGTTGCATTATTGAAACTTCTGTCGTGTCAGCTTCTTCGTGAGGAAATCGGCAGCCATTTCGTTGGTCGAACAATAGACCAATCGCATCCTCTGTTAAATTATATATTGAGTTATATAATTGTTAGGCTTGGTAGGTTACCGAACTTTACTGTAGAGGGTACAATCCCCTCCTTGTATGCCTCTCTTTCTATTCCAACTCTCTTTTCTCTCCTCAACTTTTCTCCTTCCTAAACCTCACGCCACTTCATGGCTCCTCCTAGCTAAACCTCATGCCTTTCCTAGCTTCCTAGCTAAGCTAGCCTTCTAGGTCGTCCCACCGTCGCGGGGCCTGGCCACGTCACCGAGAGGTGCGGGCGCCGCCGCCGCCGCCGCTGTTGTCGAAGCCGCCGCCGTCGCCGCTGTCGTCGCTTGCGTCGGGGCCACGCAGCCGCACTCCGCCGCCGCCGCCGCTGTCGACACTGCCGCCGCTGCCGCCGTCGTCGCCGCAGCCCCTGCGGTCGACATCGCCGCCTCACGCGCCGAGGGGTCGACCGAGCTAGTGTCGCTGTCACTGTGGCTGGAATGGGGGTGCTAGGTTAGGGGGTGTGGGGGTGTGTGTGGGCTTGTGACTACCAAGCCTAGAGGGTGTGTTAAATAATATATTGAGTTATATAATTGTTAGGCTTGGTAGGTTACCGAACTTTACTGTAGAGGGTACAATCCCCTCCTTGTATGCCTCTCTTTCTATTCCAACTCTCTTTTCTCTCCTCAACTTTTCTCCTTCCTAAACCTCACGCCACTTCATGGCTCCTCCTAGCTAAACCTCATGCCTTTCCTAGCTTCCTAGCTAAGCTAGCCTTCTAGGTCGTCCCACCGTCGCGGGGCCTGGCCACGTCACCGAGAGGTGCGGGCGCCGCCGCCGCCGCCGCTGTTGTCGAAGCCGCCGCCGTCGCCGCTGTCGTCGCTTGCGTCGGGGCCACGCAGCCGCACTCCGCCGCCGCCGCCGCTGTCGACACTGCCGCCGCTGCCGCCGTCGTCGCCGCAGCCCCTGCGGTCGACATCGCCGCCTCACGCGCCGAGGGGTCGACCGAGCTAGTGTCGCTGTCACTGTGGCTGGAATGGGGGTGCTAGGTTAGGGGGTGTGGGGGTGTGTGTGGGCTTGTGACTACCAAGCCTAGAGGGTGTGTTAAATAATATATTGAGTTATATAATTGTTAGGCTTGGTAGGTTACCGAACTTTACTGTAGAGGGTACAATCCCCTCCTTGTATGCCTCTCTCTTTCTATTCCAACTCTCTTTTCTCTCCTCAACTTTTCTCCTTCCTAAACCTCACGCCACTTCATGGCTCCTCCTAGCTAGACCTCATGCCTTTCCTAGCTTCCTAGCTAAGCTAGCCTTCTAACATCCTCCCCTTCTCGACTTCATCCTTGACGAAAAAGTAACGCAGAGAAATATGTTTCGTCCTGTTGACGAAACCAGGCTGGTGCGCGATGCGAATTGCACTTTGGTTGTCGCACTGCAGGGTAAATTGGGTAGTCGTCGTCAACTTCGCTTCTTCCAATAGTTCCTGCAGGTAAAGTCCTTCGCGTGTTGCTGTGCAGACAGCGATGAACTCAGCTTTAGTAGAGGAGAGAGCAATCAACTCATGCTTCGTCGAATTCCAAGAAATAGGTCCGATAGGTTCAAGCCGGTACATAAATCCAGTGCGTGACCGTCGATTAGTAGAGTCAGCAGCGTGATCGGCGTCGATGAAACCGTGTAGGTATAGTGTTTTGCAATCGATGACGTTGTAGACTAAATCGACGTCAGGTGTCGAGATGAAATACTGAAGCGCACGAAGATGATCGAGTTGATGTTCTTCTTCAGGTCGGCATAGGAACTGAGCGAGCTGACTGGCCGCGTAAGCTAGATCGGGACGACAAGTGACAGCGGCAAAGAGTAGACAGCCTAACTGCAGTTGATAGATCTGTAAACCGATTGAATTTAACAGTGCAGTGTTCGGTTTATGATTAGTCGGTAGTGAGCGGTACGGTGTAGAGACTGTAGTAGGGGTGAGGTTGAAGCGGGCAGCGAGCGTCGCTGCGTACTTCGAAGCGGTGAGATGAATAGACATCGGTGAACAGGTAATGTTTAGACCGAGAAACTGTGAGACTATTTCGGAGACGGTAAGCTGTAGATTTTTCTGTAGTTTCAGTATGAAGGTATCGGCAAGAGAATCGGTAGTACTGACGTAGAGGATATCGTCAACGTAGGCGACGAGTAAAATATAGTTGCTGCCGTCAGTCAGAAGATACATTCCCTGGTCAAGCAGTAGCTGACAAAATCCGGCAGTGATCGGCTATGCGTGAAGATACTGCTGCCAGAGCCGTGGTGCCTGTTTAATGCCATATAGCGATTTTCAGAGACGGCATACGCTCGGAGGGTTAGTAGCATAGGAATGCAGGTACTCTACCAGTATGAGTGCGTCGACGAGCGCGTAGAAAAACACATTTGACACGTCGATTTGTCGAAGTCGTAGATTACGGCAGGCGGCGATACAGAGTAAAATCCGAACGCTTGTATGTCGACCGACAGGAGCAAAATTTAGTTCGTAGTCGATGCCGTAAGTCTGCTCGAACCCGCGGACGACCCATCGCGCCTTGAATTTCTCAAACGACCCATCTGCATTAGTCTTGACGCGGAAGACCCATTTTTTGGTAAGTACCTTCTTCCCTTTTACTTCTGATGTCGGTATTAAATCCCATGTGCCACGATTCTTGAGAGCTGCTAGCTCCTTGTTCATGGCTTCGCGCCATTATTCTCGGTGAGGACTCGTAAGAGCTTGTCGAACGGTTTTTGGTTCAGGTATCTTACTGTCGTTGTGCTGTACTGCGACTGCGAATCCCTGTATCTGTAATCCAGTTTCTGTAAAACGTGGACGTTCTTCGTTTGCATCTGCGAAATTGTCTTCTGGTCCTTCTTTCCCCCCGATTTCGTCAGGTGTAACACGAACTGCTTCGTCAGAAACGGTGGGCATCGGCTGCTGTTGGCGATCGCGTTCGTAACTGAGGTGGACTTTCGCGAACATCATCCTGGTCAGCATCTGCAAGAGGAATAAATTCCGGTATGCCGGTCGAAGTGACAGGTTCGGGAATGTCTGTTGCGGCAGCTTCGGAAGCTTCAGAAACAGCCTCGTCCTGTACATCAGCTTCCGCTTCGTCAGTTGCAAATGCACGCGAGCCTTCGAACGGCCTGGCAGCCTGGTGGGCACAAAAAACGGGCAAGGTGAGTCTTTCATAGAAGAGACAATCACGTGATGGGACGATTTGGTTGGAGCGAAGATCCAAAATCTTCCATGCGTGATATTGTTTTTCGATGCCGAGGTGAACCCCCTCATTTTGCTCGTTCGGAAAATTTTCCGAGTGCTGCAGTTGGAGGATGAAACTGCACGACACACCCGAAAACTCGTAAAAGTTTGGTACTTCCCACTGTACGTGTCCACTGCGGGTGTGGAGAAGAGAACTCGGGCAGGGATGTTGAAGAAAGAAGGTTGTGTAACAGCACGGCGTGGTCCATCGCATACGGCCAAAACGAGGAGGAAGAGCTGCCTGCGTCAGCAGAGCACGCATCTTCTCTTGCAGAGTTCGGTTCATGCTCTCTGCTATCCCATCTGTTGGTGTGCATGCGGTAGTGACTGCTTCCGTTTGATGCAGAGGGTCTGAAGGTATTCTGTGAAAGTGTTTGTGGTGTACTCCCCTACACCAACACTCTGGAATTCTTGCAGTTTCACGCCAGACTCTCGTTCAGCGACGGCGAGCCATGCGACGAAGACAGAATGGGCGAGATATCGAGCGGGAAGGTTTGCTGTCCAAACGTAGCGAGTAGATGCTTCGATGAATGTTATTACGTACTGCTCCTCCTTAGGTCCTGCTTCAGGTAAGTTTAGTATGTCGCTGTAAACTTTCTGCATCAGTTTATATCGTGTTGAGCCAAGAAAATGACTTGGAAACGGGTCGTGGGTAAGATTGGCGACTGGGCACGTGGTGCAAGTCGTCGGACGAGTCTGTGGCTTCATCTCTGTGCCGTCAGGTAAGAGAAGACAGTTTTTTATCAAGAACTGCTTCTCGGATTGAATGATTAAGAATCCCTTGTTATGGATGTCCTAACCGCTGATGCCATAACAACATGTTATGGATGTCCTGATGATCGCAGGTAGAAATCGGCGTTAGTTTGAAATGAAGAAATAATTAAAGGAGAAAGCGCTGGTGACCTGTCAATCTCCCCTTCGACGAAACATGTAAGTTGTAACGGAACATTTGAAGGTGCTGCTACAGTTGCGATTACAACTTTTGATGCTGCTTCTGTTGATGTTGTAGCAGGTGTTTCTGCGACAGCTACTGTTGGACATGGCTGCTCGGCGACTGCTTCCTTTTCGGCTTCTTCAAAGACGTTAGGTTCATCAGCTGCAAGTCCGCTAATTTCTCCCCAATGTGGAGCTGAAGTCCCTTGAAGAGCCTCACGGGTTGTATAAAACGTTCGCCAAGCATTGGCGCCTTCATCGGCTATATTGAACTCCCAAGTATCCAGTGCGGTAAGTACAGCAGCTGCAGTTCGAGAAGCCGTTGGTACAGTAGTTGCTCGAAAATCAATATCCACGAACTGATAATCTGTTTCTTCTGGATGATCCCAGGGACCAAGGGCGAGGACGCGTTCAGAATCACCAGAAGTTCCCCGTGCCGCGAACTGAAGAACGGATACGCCATGTTGAATGGCGGCACGACCGAGGTAAGTATTTGATAAACTGTGCCATAACTCCTGATCCATTGTATCACAGTTGCCTTGCGTGCGTATTTCGTGTGCCAAGAGCTGAGCCGTGGAGAGAAGATTGAAGCCAAGGCCAGCGACGATAAGAGCATTGGTAACGTGGAGTGAATATTCCCATGTCGACTTATTCGAGCATCACACTTCCAATGGATCTTGCCATAATAGTTTGTCCGTTTGCAACAGTGACAGGTATCGGACGACGAAGCGGTCGCTGGTTGGTGATGAAGCTTGTCTCAGCGGAACACATGTGCCAATCGCAGCAGCTGTCGAGATACCAAGTATTCGGGCCTGAAATTATTCGAGCAAGGTTAGCGTAAACTTGAGGTAAGGGAATGCCTTCAGCACTTGTGGTTTCTTCTAGTCGTGTCTCAAAATCTGTTTCTGAAACATCAACTGTGGTAACACATCCAAATACCCCTTTTCCTGATGTTGCAGATGCAAAAACCGGAGGACGATGCTGTGACGGCGACGGATTCTGCAGCGTTTTGGGCATCTGCTGCATTTGGATCGTCGACTGCTGCGTTGGCTGATGTGGCTTTGGTAACTGCTGTGAGCGATGATAAGGTTGTGAAGTGCTGCGTCAGTTTTGATGTCGACTGCAACAATTATGGTAAGTGTGTCCTGGTTTCTTGCAGAAATAGCAGAAGGGATATTTCGGGGGATGACGATGTTGCGATTCTGGCTTTGAGTAAAAACTCAAGTGTATCCCCTTTTTTTTATTGCGTTGTGACTGCACATCCAGATCTTGAAGATACGAAGAAATCTCAGCTTCGGAGAGATTTGGATTCATGCGCAGGAAGGCGCGTGTCTGTCGCCATTCAGGTCCAAGGCCAGCAAGAAGGACAGCGAGATACATCTCACGAGGAAAGTATCCCCCACTTTTCTCCAGTTGATCACGTAGTGTACGGACGCGGTTGACGTAATCCATGACGTTTTCATTTGTCATCATCTGCACACTTGTCAACTGCGAAAGAATCTTACTCACTGTTATTGTATCTTTTGCCATGTATACCCCTTCAAGTAGTTCCATGCAGTTTCAGCGGGTGTAAAGCTTTTATGAAACGATCGGACGCCGAGTTGCTCCTTCGGCGACAGATTCCGAACAAGAACTGTATACACTCCAAGAGAGGTGTGTAAGAAACACTGCTGCTCCAATTGTGTTCCCACGACAGGATAAGTAAACTCGCCGATGAAGAACGGCCATAGCCCAACGGACTGTGCAAGAAGCTCAAACTCGAAACTCCAGGAGTAAAAATCTACTCCGTAAAAAGGTATGGTTGTCTTAATCTGTATACTGTTAAGAAAATTTGGCGGTTGAAAAATAATACCCGGTTGTTGTGACTGTTGCTGTTGCTGCTATTGTTGTTGCTGTTGCTGCTGTTGCTGAAACTGTTGTGGCTGTTGTTGTTGTTGTTGTTGTTGCTGTTGCTGAGCAGGGGAACGACCCAAGATGTAAAACGGATGCTGCTGCTGGTGTTGTGACTGCGGCTGCTGCACAAAAGGTGAGAAAGCGAATGAACCAGAACTTGGAGCTGAGGCTCCACGCATATAACTCGAGCCGTCAAGGCTCATTCCACTGAACGCAGAAGATAAAGATTGAGTTGAAAACGGTGGTTGTGCTGGTGCCTGTTGCTGTACTCATGCTTGTTGTTGTGCTGTTGTCTGTGCTTGTTGCTGATGTGCTTCGGTTACCATCCGCGCTGTTGTAACGGTCAGTCGCAACCTCCAGTTGCGACCCTTCGAGTCCCTTCGCGTTCTTTGTCCGTTCCCTCGTGTAACCTCCGTTGACTCGCGTACCCGTTGCGATCTTCCTCGAGTGTAGTGTTACACTTCAGAAACGCTTAAGTCCTTTGAGATATTTCCAACACTCCCCTTCGTTTCTGGAGTGCTGACGTGTTCAGATCCGGTGACGTTTGTCTGCCCGGTCAGCAGCGTGCAGTAATCGAATTTTGCTTTCGCTAATTTCTTCGTCAGATAGTCTGCAGCCATTTCTGTCGTCGGGCAGTAGCTGAGTTGAAGTCTCCCCTTCGCGATTTCATCCTTGACGAAGAAGTACCGCAGGGCGATGTGCTTGGTTCGGTTGGCGAAGCCGTCCTTGTTCGCGATTTTGATCGCAGATTGGTTGTCGCAGAGGAGTGAGAAGACGGGCAGGGTCGCGATCTTCGCTTCCTCGAGCAACTCTCGTAGGTAGAGTCCTTCCTTGGTCGCAGTGCAGAGGGCGATATATTCTGCTTCAGCCGAAGATAGTGCGATTAGTTCCTGTTTGCTCGACTGCCAGGAGATAGTCCCGATAGGTTCTAGTCGGTAGATGTAGCCCGTTCTCGATCGCCGATTTTCCCTGTCTCCTGCGTGGTCGGCGTCGACGTATCCGAGTAGTCGTACGGACGGTGTTGTTACTTTGCTGTAGGTAAGCCCGGTCGTCGGCGTGGAGACGAAGTAGAGTAGTGCCCGGTTGAGCTCCTCGAGATCTTCTTGTTCCGGCTGCTTCAGATGCGTCGCCGGTTGGCTCGCGCTATAAGAGAGATCGGGTCGGCAGGTTACTGCTGCGAATAGTAGGCAGCCGAGCTTCTGTTGATACTCCTGCATTTGCTTCGCGGGGAGTTTTGCGGAGGTGCTGTTGTTGTTCCCGTAGCGGTAGGGAGTTGGGACCGTAGTCGGCGTTAGACCGAATTTCTTCGCGACGGTGCCTGCGTACTTTCCAGCGTGTAGGTAGAACGCCGAGTTGTCTTCGACGACATTCAGTCCCAGGTACTGGGTCACTGCGTCGGACACCGTGAGTGTCAAGTCTTCTTTCAGCTCCCCTTCGAACCAGGTGGCGATGTCGGTAGTGGAGCCGATGTAGAGCAGGTCGTCGACGTAGACGATGAGAAGGATAAAGGCTCCTTCCTTCTGTAGTCGATACATGCCTTGGTCGTGCGGCAGTTGTAGGAAGCCGATTCTGACGAGGCGGCCGTGAAGATGCTGCTGCCACAGCCGCGGAGCTTGTTTGATCCCGTAGAGGGATTTTATCAGCTGGCATACTTTTGTAGGGTCGTCGATGAAACCGTGGGGCTGCTCGACGAAGATTTCGGCGTCCACAGGTGCGTACAGAAAAGCATTTGCGACATCGATTTGGCGCAGTGGTAGTTTCTTCGTGGCCGCGACGGCGAGTAGGATGCGCAGGGAGGTGTGACGGGAGACTGGGGCAAAAGTTTCTGTGTAGTCGGTTCCGTATCGTTGATCGAAGCCTCGTACGACCCATCGAGCTTTGAATCGTTCGATGGAGCCGTCTGCGTTGGTCTTGATGCGGTACACCCATTTTCCCGAGAGGATGTTCTTCCCGTTGATGCTTGTTGCAGGTAACAGCTTCCATGTATTTCGGTCTTGCAGAGCTTTTAGTTCCTTTTCCATCGCTTCCTTCCATTTCGCCTTATGTTCACCCCCCAGAGCCTGCGACAAAGTCGAGGGCTCGCGCGGAGATCAGTGGATCTGAACACGTCAGCACTCCAGAAACGAAGGGGAGTGTTGGAAATATCTCAAAGGACTTAAGCGTTTCTGAAGTGTAACACTACACTCGAGGAAGATCGCAACGGGTACGCGAGTCAACGGAGGTTACACGAGGGGGCGGACAAAGAACGCGAAGGGACTCGAAGGGTTGCAACTGGAGGTTGCAACTGACCGTTACAACAGCGCGGATGGTAACCGAAGCGACAATCGAGTCGCTGTGCGACTCGATAACCTTTCCTGCAACTGTATTCTACAACTGCTTTCTTATTTTCTATATATTGCTGTATGCTTGTTTCTTTAATCAATCACTTGTTCTCATATACTAGTACAAGGGTTCAACTGCCTCAACTTCCGCTGCACTACTCAAGTCTCATTCTACAACTGGGACTTAGTCTCTGGAAAGATCCTAAGGGTTTTTCTAAGAGTGAACCTGAGTATATGTTTCTGCAGAAGTTAAGTCTCAAAGTTCTCAAAGTTGAAATCTCAAGGTTAAGAATAAAAAGGACAGAACAAAGATTTATAGCTCTAGGAAAGTACCTATTCGCTAATGTACCTGTTCGTCACTATCGCGCTATGCGCCCTAGACGATAATGAAGAGTTGCGACTATTCGCGTGACTGAAACGACTGTCCTATGACGAGCGCTATTTGCTGACGTCATCCTACGGACTTATCTTATACAGTTGGATTCGACTCTATCTATCGATTTAACGACTTACAGAAATGTGAAGTATGAAATATACCACGACATAAGGAACCACTGATCCAAAGTCACATGTCAATAAAAGGGTACGTGCATGGAATGCACTTCTTTGTAGGGCATGTTGTGAGTCTTGAAATGTGTGAGATGAAGACATACAACTCAACTATTACACATGAATGACATTCAAAAGTCAAGCCTAACCATCATTGTACACCCGCTAGCTTGCTTAGTCGCTGGTATGCAAGCTCCTTGAGCCGTTTTCGGTCGAATGGGACGTATGCACAGATGGACTCATCGAGCCTGAACAAGGTAATGAAACAAGCACATGTCAAATGCAAGATGGTGAAGGCATAACTATGAAAAGTGCACAAAGCAGGCACATGACAGTGAGAGCACGATACGAAACCCACAACGGAAAGGAAGTGGGGTGTGAAAACTCAGGAAATATAGCGACAGGGGTGAAGTCGGAAGGTGCATAGAGTGTAGATGCTACTGTGTGACTTACACAAGTGCCGTAAGGTCAGGAAGCGATTCCATGAACTGATACAGCTCTGAGATGTCATACGTGATGTTCTTGACCCAGGGTTCATCTCCTTCAGCCGCCGCTCAAACAGAGCACACAGCCCTGCGAGCCATGCATGCAGGGTAGGGAAATGGAGAATAGGTTGATGTTCTTGACTCCGCATTCATCTCCTTCAGTTGCCTCTCAAACAGAGCACAAAGCCCTGCGGGTCATGCATGCGGGGTACAGAAATGAAGAAGTTGATGTTCTTGACTGCTAGATTCATCTTCTCCAGCCGCCTCTCAAACAGCACACACTCCTGTAGGTAGAGGGGGGAAGCGGGGGAAGACGAGAAGGGGGAAGGGGGGAGGGGAAGGGCGGAGGGGGAGGGGAGAGGTGGGGAGGGCAAAAGGGAGGAGTCCAGTTGCAAATTATTAAGAATGACCACCCTCGTGTTATCCCCATACCCCCATGGTCATGGCCATTCTCATAACCCCACGGTCATGGCCATCCCCATACCCCCGTGGTCATGGCCATCCCCATACCCCCGTGGTCATGGCCATTCCCATACCCCCATGGCCATGGCCATCCCCATACCCCCATGGTCATGGCCATCCCCATACCATGACCCTCAATCCCTCGCTCTGGGAACCACCTTTAGCTTACAGCAATTGGGGGCGGTTACAGCTTCGGGGTTTGAGGTTCATTTGAAAGGTTTGGGCTTCGGGTGGCTGGGCTTATGGGCATCGTCTGCCGCACCCCTTGCTTCCCCTTCTTCGCTCAAACCATGTAACTTGTTAACGAGTCTTGGTGATTCTGCGCGTTCTAGATCCTAGCTTAATAAATCGGACCATCTGAACGAGAGCGGAATTGAGTACGAGAAAATGTACTACTGAGCGAGTGTATATACTGAGGGAGGGAAGAGAGGGGGGAAGAGAGGGAGGGAAGAGCGGTACCATCAATGGCTTCAGCTGTGGAGGGGTACTCGATATAAGTGCACGACGATTTCTGCGGCGCTGTTTGCAGCAGAAGAATGGTGTGTCCATTCTGATTGGTTGCGGACAACGGGGAGGAGCGTGGTACGATTTGGGTGGGGTGGTAGGGGATGGAAAAGGAAGAACGTTAAGGAAGGTGCGCGGAAGGGGGTGCATGGTTCAACGTAAGGGAGAGCAGGCATGACAGAAACCCTAACTGAGTAATACTCAAACTTGAGAGAAGATGCTATGACAGGTTGACGAAGAAATACGTCTTCGGAAACCCTAACTGAGTAGTACTCGCTGCCACGATTCACAGTGCGTCACGATTCACTTACGTCTCTAGAAACCACCAATTCAGCACGTCGAAAGAAGCTGGAACTTCTCAATAAAAATGAATAACTAACGCAGGCTTTACCATGTTTGCTGGTGATAAGCTATCACTTCTGGCTCGCGGTCAGCACGTCTTGAGGCGCCTCAAGACCCCACCTTCGACTCGATAGCGAGTTCCTACGGCTAGGCCAGGCCAGGCAAAAAATTAACAAGTACACGATGAACTAGGTCAACTTGCAACCGTACAGCTGCTTGTTTTGCGACAGTGTCTGTCACGTAGTCTAACGTAAAAAACCCGCCCAGCCAACGGCTCGATGCTAGCTGCTCGTCAGGGCAGTGTCTAATGATGTCATGTGCAATTACGACCTCGGCCCTCCTAACGCACTAAACCACGCACAAAGTCTAGAGGCAGGACTAGGAAATAGTTGAGTGAGCTGATTGGTCCCATGGATGCAACTGGGATGCAGGACTTACTTATTATCCCCGTTACAAAACACTTTGCTACAAATCAAATCTTTTAGTGTACTGGACATCTCAAGATTCAGAAACAACTTTCTCCAAACCTCCAAAACCGTGTCGCGGAAATGTGACCCCATGACAAAGCTGTCAGAGTGCCGAGGGAGTTTCATCATTCTCGAAGCGAGTCGTCAGCTTTCGTTATCACATGGTTACCTGCTCTCGATCGCAGAGCCCAGCAGGCGAACACTTCAAGAATCTCACCCTTTCACTTTGGCGCAATCTCAAAATGCGCGCGTCGCCTTGGCATTCCCTTGTGGCGGCTCGTCCCTCTGTGGCTGGCAGAGCATGCATTCCTGCGCTCTGGTGATTGACCAAGAGAATAGAGAACGCAGAAGTACGTTGGTTGATTCTGGCTGATTTTCTGGCATGAAAGAAAGAGGAGGCATTTCCTAGCATTCCTCCTCGGAAAAACTGCACTGCTAACACTGCGTCCATCGCCCTGCATAGTCGTCTCCACCTTTCTAGCTCTGCGAGTTCCTTAGATTGCACGCATGAGATACGTTTCGATCTTACCAGTGTTTTGGCAAATCGTTCATTTCTATCATATTTGACATCTGGACAGTTTTCTTAGCCACCGCGTTCCGCTTCTACTCCTTCGAGCCCGCCTCACGAACGAAAATAAGTGCACAGACACGCTAGGCATGGACCGACCAGAACGAACGAGAATGCATCTTCGCGCATTCTCTCCACCCATCGCCCTCCTCATCTCGCTCGTCGTCCTGGCCCCCTCGCACACTGTCGCAAATGCCCAAGCGACTTCGCTAGAAATCGAAGAGTTGAGTCCTTTCGAAACGATAGACAGCGCAGTTGATGCTGGATCGTTCGGACCGCACGTCGACCTCTCTTCTTCCGGAACCGCCGCCGGCGGCGGCCGCGGCGGAAGCGGCGTTGCAGCCAGCGGCCGGCCGCCCGTGCCTCGTGTGGCCCAGCTGCGGGGTGCGAGCGACGCGGTAGCTGAGGCGCAGGCGAGCAGCGGCGTCGCAGGCGACAACTCGCGCGTCGCACGGCTGTACCTCTTGTCGAAAAATACCTACCGTGCGAGATGCCTGGACGGCAGTCCTGCTGGTTACTACCTTCGACGCGGGTTCGGCAGCGGCGCTAGCAACTGGATCTTAATTCTCGAGGTAATTTTTGAGTCGACTCAAGGTGATTTTTGAGGTGATTTTTGAGTCGACTAAAAAATCACCTGGACGGCAGTCCTGCTGGTTGCTACCTTCGACGCGGGTTCGGCAGCGGCGCTAGCAACTGGATCTTAATTCTCGAGGCTAGTGAGCCTGAGCGCCTGAGGCAGTAGAGATCTGTTTACAAGTCGACTTTTAAATGCATTAGGGGGAGGAAGGGATTCTTACCGAATCCAGTGCGTGATTGCCGTAACGAGCCGTTCTTACGCACGTGTAGCATGACGCTAATTGCACGTTACAACTTTTCTGGTGCGTGTCCATGTCGCGTTTCATCATCTGCGTTTCATCTGCGCTGCCAGGCTGGCGGGTGGTGTTTCAACGCCAAGTCATGCGCGAACCGAGCCAAGGGACCCCTTGGGAGCTCCAAGCAATGGCCGCCCACCAGCGTACGTGTTCTCGACCTCGCCTTGTTGCCATATCACCACGCTCGACCTCGCCTTGTTGCCGTATCACCACTCTCGACCTCACATTGTTGCCATATCACCACTCTCGACCTCACATTGTTCACCACTCTCGACCTCGCCTTGTTGCCATATCACCACTCTCGACCTCACATTGTTGCCATATCAACCGAGGCCCTCCCGCATGCCCCACATCCCATCTCGCCTAGCGCCTGCAAGCCGACAGAACAGAATCCCCTGCCTGCTCTCCCCATTCTTGAGAATCCCCTGCTTGCCTGCGTTTTGAGAGTTATCAAGATTCACCTAACGCATGCCCCACGCCCCATCTCGGATAAGTCCTGCAAACCGCCAGAACATAATCCCCTGCCTTTTCACCCCATGCGTTCCACTCGTTTATAATTACTGGGAGCTACGACGCCTAGTTTTGAGGCGCCTCAAAACTAAACTACGACGCACCCGCATCCCCAGTCCCTTCGCAACTCCCGACTTTCCCGCGTTGACTGCCCTTCCCATCGCGCCCTTCCTTGCCCGCGAATTCCTCCCCCATCTCCCCTGTTGCGCCCTTCCACAGAACGTGCAGTACGGCGGGGTGGGCAGCACGGACAGCGCCGTGAACCCCGCGTTCCACAACTGGAACCTGGTGCTCGTGAAGTACTGCGACGGCAGCTCCTTCACCGGCGGCTACGGCAAGCTGCGCGCCAATGCGGAGACGGGGCGCGCACTGTACTTTCGAGGGCACTGGAACCTGCAGGGCACGCTGCAAGGTACAGTACTTGAAGACATTCAACCCAGCAACGGCTGCTAAAGCTGTTACTCTGTATTCCGGAATACGGACGCTGCACTTCAGAGGACACTAGAGGGGTCACAGGTCACGGGTCACAGGTCACGGGTCACGGGTCACGGGTCACAGGTCACAGGTCAAGTGACACGGGTCACGGGCTAAGGAAGTGCTGTACAGACACGGCTTTAGTGGATTACAGTCTCGCGAGATGGCTCCCTACCTGAAACTTGCACGTTCCCATAGCCACCCTTTTCCCCCCACCCCTTTCCACCGCCCAATACTCTCATCCCCAACCCTCTTCCCCCGCCCGCAAACCCTCCGACCCTCATTCCGCTTCCCAGTTCAACCATCTGGCTAGTGTTTCGGAAAAGACGGAGCAAAAAACGGAATGCCCCTCTTTCAGTGGCGACTCTCCCATGCAGACCTGTTGGCTCGGCACGGGCTGAATGTGGGCAAGCAGATGCTGGTGGGCGGATGCAGTGCATGAGGCGCTGCATTGCCGTGTCCGTGCCTGCCCTTTTCTTGCCTGCCCTTTCCGTGCCTGACCTTTCCGTGCCTGACCCTTTCTCTTGAGTCGCCGTGCCTTCTGTTCTTCCCCCTTGCCAACTCTTCCCATACAGACCTGTTGACCCGCCATGGCCTGAATGTCGGCAAGCAGATGCTGGTGGGCGGCTGCAGTGCGGGCGGCGTCGCCACGTCAATCAAGTGCGATCAGATCTCGAGGTGGATGGCAAACTACAATGTTACAACCAAGTGCTTCATGGATGGAGGCTACTTCCCAGGTAGGCTTCACTTCGGGTCGGCTCATTTGGAGGGTAGATATTTCAATTAAAATCACAATGTATTAAAATCACAATGTATTTCAAACTTGTTCAGGTTTCCTCCCCATTCAAATTTCACTAAAATCTACTCCCTCTGCTGCCCATTTCTCTCGTTGGTCCGGCATCAGATGTGGTGGATGAGGACGGCAAGTGGACCATGAGGCAGAAGGTGCAGCAGATGGCGGGCGTGCATGACATGGGACGCACAGGGTTCAATGCAGAGTGCAAGCGAGGTGAGCCTCGTCGTAGGGTGGGGTACTTGGGCCCAGGTTAGAGGCCCAGGTTAGGGTTCCATGTGCTGCGTGCGAGGTGCGGGGCAGGTGATGGCCGGCGTGCATGACATGGGACGCACAGGGTTCAATGCAGAGTGCAAGCGAGGTGAACCTCGCCCTAGGGTGGTTAGCTTGGGCCTATGTTAGGGCTCTCTGTGGGAGCTGCGGGGTGCTCTGCAGCTGATTGGCGGGCGTACATGACTAGGGACGCACAGGGTTCAGTGCGGAATGCATGGGAGGTGAGGCTGTCCATTTCACCCTTCCTAGCGTGCCGAAGCAACCTTGGTGATGCATATGTTATGTCCCCTTTCATCAGAACACTAGGTCCCCCTTTGTGGATCACACTCTGCCCATCTTTCTTCCTGCGTTCTCCACCTTTCCACTCTCACCACGCCCTGTGCAGCAATGAAGAAGACCAACGAGACATGGAAATGCTTTTTCCCAGAATACAACCTGCAGTTCGCACGCTCGCCGATGCTCATCGTCAACTCCTTGTCCGATTACAAAGCCATAAGTTTGACCCTCGCGCCCAGGCCTAAGGGGACCTCTGACCCGCTGCTCCGGTGCCTCCGATCCAGCTACCAAAGCTGCACCCCAGCCCAGGTGAAGCTGCTACAGTCCTTCTCCACTAAAATCAGCACATCCATAGGGAAGCTTGTGAAGATGAGGTCTGTCGAAAATGAGGGGATCCAGGCGTTTACGTTCTCGCAGTCTGCACACTGCGTGGTGGGAGAGGAGATGTGGCAGAAGGTACAGTCGACTGCCAAGGCATTCTCGTCTGTTCCACCCCCTTCTTCCTCGTCTCCGTCATCGCCTCCCTTGGCAACAAGTGGTGCTAATGGTGCACCTTTAGCCACGTCTTTCGTTAGCTGGTATCGTAGTTGAGAAGAGTGGTCTAGGCTTGTTTGGTTTGATGTAATTCGTAATTTATTGGCAGGTGGAGCACAGTTTGTGCTTTCCCTTTTCATACATAATTAGAGGATTTTGAGCCTTGAGAGCTGTATTTGGATGCATATATAGTCATGCAGAATGAAGTGGCAACCTTTTAGCGGGTGTACCACAGCTGCAGCATTCCACTTCAAACCGCCGAATTTACCATCCCCGCCGAGATTTCTCGAATGCGGTCTGCCCCAAGGCGAAACGCGAGAGGCTGCATGAGTGCAGTGGTCCCCACGCTAGCCACAACCCTCGAATGGCGAGCGATTTCACCACCAACTGTCGAATGGCGAGCCACTCCGCAGAACCCCAAGATTCTCGTTTTGCCCCCCGTCATGTCCGGGCAACACACACGCACCTCGTGTGTTCCAGAATCGGGTTTTGGAAAATGAGCCCTCACTTGCTGCCCTGGGTTTCCATCAGGCAAACATCTGCTCTGAATCCAGACCAGAACACACAGCGTGGGTCTGGGGGGGAGAAGAGAAGGCTAGGATGTCAGGCCTTGCCCCACGAATCGTCTCGTCATGGCTGGTAACTCTGCCCCGAACTTGCCGTGCCGAACCAGGCCCCGCACAGAGTGCCTGACCTAGGCTCAGCTTGGAGGTCAGCCGAGGTGGTTCAATGGTTGGGTCCAGCGTTTGTGGCTCATGTGAACCATGTCGACGCCTGGCTGGCCCGAAGCGATTCGGAGCTCACGTGCCGCACGAGTGTCGCAATGGACATCAGTCTTGCTGGGAACACCGAAAATGAAGTGTCCTTTGATGTTCAACCTGCTGCTCAGCTGACTGGAGCTATTCCATACGCCAGTCTTGATGTGCTCCGAGAAATTCGGGCTCTAAATTTGGAAGTAGAAATACCCCTCTGTGCGCATATGCTGTCTAAGGCACACTGAGCTGGTGCTACAGGTAGTAATAGTCCTCGTTGCCACTGGGCTCGTGCTTTCGAGTCGTTGTGCTTGGTTCTCGAAGCCATGGCGGCGCTTTTACGCACCGCTGCTCAGCAGCAGAGCATGACGAGTTTGGTCTTGAAAAAGCCCTTCGTAGGGGAGACTACACGATTCCGTTCCTTCGCAGCAGAAAGATTCCTCAAGTGCTCGCAAGCCGACAGGGGACAGTCTCGAAATAGGTTCACATCGCTGAGAGTCAGCTCAGTCCTTGAGGTAATAGACGAGGCAATTGTCCATCCACGCCTTATCGTTCAATCAAGTTCTCATCGTTAGGTTTGCTGGCTGCAGGTACCGAGTAGCCTTGAGGGCTCCCTCTCTCCTGTGGTGTTTCCAACGCCTGATGACGGCGATTCAACCACGAAAAGGTGGAAGGTCCTTCCTGACATGTGGCCAACTCTTTCGAAGCAGTACGGTGACAAGATCGCTGTTTTCGATCCACACCACGGTCAGAAGCGAGGCTTGACGTTTTCGGAGCTCGAAACCGCAATCCACGACTTCGGTGAAGGTCTCCGTGTCTATGGGCTGAAGCAAGGAGAGTGCGCAGCGCTTTTTGCTGAGAACTCGCATCGATGGCTTATTGCTGATCAAGGCAAGTCACTGGTTTCCAAGGTTGATGCTTGTTCGTGAAGCTAGCGCGGCGGCTTATCGCATCCGATTATTGGGTTCAGCACTTTTCTACTTCGAATAACATTGAAGTCTGAATGCGAGCAGGCTCATGGATATTGGTGCTCGTGACGCGGTTCGAGGAGCAAAATCGTCAGGAGCGGAGTTATTTCACATTCTGGAAAACTCTGACAGGTTTGTCAAGTCGAGTAGCTAGTTTTCCGCCATTAATTGGCTCCTTCAGGTTGCAAATAACTCCATTTTCACATTCATGATTTCAGTACCGCCGTCATCGTGGATAACGTAGACGTTCTCGAGCGCATCGCCCCTTTCCTCGAAGCTTCTTCAGTGAAGGAGATTGTCAACTTCGCGGTTGTCCTTTGGCCTCCTGTCGCCAAAGGCCAGCCAACCAGCTCTGACTGGAAGGCCAGAAGCAAGTGCTTCAAATGGTTTCCTCTGCACTCGTTCGAGGAAGTATCAGCAGCTGGGAGGGCCAGCAGGCTCACTCATGATGCGTTATCGCGCTCGGAGCCTCGTCAGACCTCTAGACCTGATGACGTGGCAACATTGGTGTACACGTCTGGAACGACCGGGAATCCCAAGGGAGTGATGCTCACGCACAACAACCTGATGCATCAGGTCAAGCTCCTCCATTCATCAACTTTCCTGGTTCCATTGCATTCCCCTATCCCCTCGGTTCCTGGCTACGTTCCTTAGCCACCCTTCTCCTCTTCCTCCCTCGCCGCTGTTCAGCACACCCGCCATCTATCTCTCCTTTTTGCACGTTCCGGCTTGTATTCTCAAATTCCGCGTCATGCTTGTGCTTTGCAGGTCAACAACTTCACATGTGCCCTGACGCCCGAGTCTGGTGATGTCATGTTGAGCCTGCTACCCCCGTGGCACATGTACGAGCGCTCATGCGAGTACTTCCTGCTGAGCCATGGCGTCCAGCTTGTCTACAGCAATGTCAAGTCGTTCAAGGTCCGTTCATTGTATGATTGCATTACGTTTTGAATTATCCCACCATAACTTTGAGTTTGATTAAATTTCCTATCTGGTTTTTGCAGGAGGATCTGGTGAAACATCCTCCGGACTACTTTGTTGCTGTTCCACTTGTCTTTGAGGTTCTATACAGGTAATACAGTCGCAACCCATAACCATTCCTGGCGTTCTAATGACTTACCTCCAGTTCTAGAAGTCACCAAACCCCATTGTTGGCCTTGCAGCGGAGTCCAGAAAAAGCTTGCTGCAGCATCAGCTGCCAGAGCAGCAGTCGCCAAGTTCCTGATGAAAATTAGCTGCCTCCACAAGGAAGCTCTGCGCGTCTGGACAGGATTAGCAGTCCTTCGTTCGCAAGAAAGCACTCAGGGGCTCATGTTTGCCAAGGCGCTGGTGGAAACTCTGGGAGCAGGGCTGTTGGCGCTGGTGCTGCTGCCTCTCCACCTGCTGGCAGAGAAGCTTGTGTACGCCAAGGTCAAAGCTGCAATCGGCATTAAAAAGGTAGGGTTGGCACTTTTGCAGATGGGGCAAGGCTCCGGCTGCACTCTACACCTTTTAGTCGCTTATTTCTTGCTCTTTTGTTTCTTCATTCATACTTGCAGGCAGCAGTAAGTGGTGGAGGAAGCTTGCCATCGCATGTGGACAAATTCTTCGAGGTAGGCGGCATGTTGTGACGGTTGTCTGACTGGTTCAAGCTCAAGTGTCGTGCATGGTTGATCTGAGACACTTTTTTCTGTACTTACCCAGCAAATCGGGATTACTCTGCTCAATGGATATGGCCTCACAGAGACCTCTCCTGTGCTGACAGTCCGACAAAGTTCCAAAAATGTAAGCATTCTTCATCTGTGAAGCTTCTCCGCTGTCACTTCTGCTTGCTAGACCTAATACCATACGTGCACTGCGTGAAACAGGCACTGGGGAGCATTGGGAGTCCAGTTCCAGGAACGGAGATCAAGATTGTGGATCTGGAGACAGGGTTTGGTCTGCCTGCAGGCCAGCGAGGGCTGGTCAAAGCACGTGGCCCACAAGTGATGAAGGGCTACTACAAGGTAAGTTCTTGAGGGTTTGCTTGTAGGAAAAAAAATAATTCCGCATTGTGCTGCGAGGCAATATTTCAAGCCAGGAGGCTTCCACCTTCCCTCTGTGAATCACTTCATCTACATGTCCAACACTCTGTTTGTGTCCAACAGAATCCGTCTGCCACAGCAATCGCAATTGATG